ACCTACCTTGCCCCGAGAACGATACAGTCTCAAGGCAAAGGAAGATGGGTGAGGGCACAGTGGCTAGTAAATGTTGGCAGTCCTTTCAATCGTGCCAAACACGATCTGGAGTCCACAACATGTATCAGAGTGGTTCAGCTTGTGGCGGACAGCCAACGTTGCCCGACAATTCGACCGTCGATTTCGACGATGTCCGCCGCGGGCTTCAGCAAGCCGAAGACAAACGCTGTCTCTCACTGTCTCACTCTCTCCCAGACGCGGCTAGCAATAACAATGGCTTAGTCAGCGGCCACTGCTGCCTGAGACGGCAACTCCGGGTTCCGTGCTCAATCAATCCCTCATTCAGGTGCCTTCTGTCTTTTACCTGCCACCTGGGGTTTGGTCTGGTGATTATAGTACTTTGAACAAAAACACTGATTAGACCCGCCCAAAAAGCTGCCACATCGATGAGAACGTCGCGAAGGTCACACTAGGAAGAAGTCATTACAGTCTAACTCCTCCAGTCACTACATGATGACCCAGGTACCGCGCCACTTGGCAATTTTCCAAGCCACGATTTAGCCCGCGCGTTATAGATTTAAACGCACTAGATTTAGTAAAGTGAGGAATGCGCTGATTTGACCTCGAGACGGATTCCCCAGTGTTGGCCTCAATCTTTCTTACCTCTCCCATTCACCAATCAACTGTCCCAATCCATCAACCAGTTAGTGATGGGATTGAATGCAGTGGCTGACAAAGCTATGCAGTCCGTGTCCGTGTACCGCATAAAACCCCATCGCCACTTCAGTACCAGGATGAACCAGACAATTTGGTTCTCACTTAGGTCAGATGTGTATATCCTGAAATCCGACTTCTCGTTCGACGATGGCAAGGCGGGCCTAATGCATGCTGCTTAAGGAAGGCTTGGCATTAAGAGGCGTAGCGTTTATGCACAGAATAGTTAGGATGGTCAGCAGGACGACGATCGAGCTCCACCCCGGTCCCCGCAGGGCATCCCTTGCCAATAGACGAAGAGCCGACGAGATCCCAGTTTGACACCTGTAAATACTGCGAGGCGCGTACAAAACCAACCTCCGACGATGCAAGCCTGTACGCTTTCAAAACGTCAGGATATTATACCTATTATTCCCGTGGTCGCCTCTTCTCCTTTATATCCGGGACACGCATTTTCGGTTCAATCAT